TTTTTTTTAAATTTTTACTAACAACGCGTATTACGGGTTGTTTACTGCTAGTGAATATTATTGGCGAACCTATATTTTTAAATTATTATATATTTATCTATTTGCGTCAACGTGTAAAGATTAAGCGTTTAAGTGCAGTCTTAATGTCGTTTTCTTATTGTTTACAAAACAAAAGATTACAAGCATATCAATGCGGTTGAACTTCCATCTGTTTTATATTTGCATGATTATACTTACCACGACCCGTATTTATATAGTATTTATATAGTTTTTGTAATCTTTATATGTCCCAATAGTTTTAATATATAAAAATTGTTATATTTCTTATAATTAAATTTTTATAATTGTAGTAAGATGGCATTGGAATTCTGTCACTGTCTTCTGTTAAAGAAATTGTTGATAGAACAAATAGACAGTTGCTTAAAAACACTTTTTTTAACAATAAAATAATCTCTTAAATGGTGAGTTTAAATTAAATAGTTAAAGGTTGAATAGTGAACAAATAAAAATTTCAATGACTGAGTTCTCGGCTTCTTTTTTTTCTACAACTTACGTATAAGTACAACGAAAATATATCAGGTGAAGGTTAAAAAAGAACACACTTAATTTTAGTGAAAAAAAGAGAGTAATGCCACTGCATCACCAGCATTACCTTAAATCTGTCCTAGAGTCCTGCTAGTTTTAGGACTAAAACAAAAAGTGCATAATTTTTTTAATCTTAAGAACACTCCACTTAAGGACATGTTCAAAAATTGTTTCCACTTTTTTTATGAATACGCCTTCAAGTGCCATTATATAATGCGAACTTGCTGTATACAAAACATTTGTAAAAGTACATGATTGCGATTGATATTTTTCTTTGGTGTGTATGCAGAACCGAGCAAAATATCCAAGATTTTGCAGGGTTGGAACCCATGACCTTTTGATCACAATGATCAAAACTTGTTTTATTGAGAATATATTTACTCTAATTTAAAGAAATAATCAAATTCAAAGAAAATTTACCTTCAAAACATTTATGAACTTTATTCTTCAGCTCGTCCACCTGAACATTTAGATTTTCAAGTTCCATATACTCTTCTTCTGAAGTGTTTGGAATCATTTTTAATACTATCTTAAATTTCACATCTACTTGTTTATAATAGCTATCTAAATTTTTTAACATAATTTTCTTTTGTTCAATATTTTTCGTCAATTCACTCAGCTTCATTTTGAGTTCTCTAATAAAAGAATCAAATTCAAATTTTATCCTGTCTTGTTGATGTTCCTCAAGAAATACTTTAACTTTGGCAATCGTGTCCAAATAATAAGATTCAAATTCACTCAAAATTTCCTGTATTTTTTTGGCCATGTTTTCAAGAGTACAGTTTTTTTTTAGTTCCTGTATTTCTTGTTTGAGCGCATTAGCGTCTTTATACATTTCTGTTAATAGAATATGCATATTGTTTTCTTGGATTAAATGATTTATATCTACCGTGTACTGTACAATTTTGTCATGGAAAACTTTAGCAGTTGCAAAAAAGGAACTTTTTTCATGTTTGTAGACTATTTCATCCTGGACTGTATTGATTGAATTAATACAACGATCGTACATTTGGTGAAAGTGGTCAAAACATACATCAAGCTTTTTCAAAGTGAGCTGAACATTAGGCAAATGATTGTCTTTTGAGTGACTTTTAATCTTTTGACAAGATAGCATAAGCTTTTTAAATCTTTTTCCTATTACTCTAATGGCAATAAGTTTGCTTTGTTGGATCAAATTTTCCTTGTAACTTTTATCTAACTCCATTTTTCTATAGTATAGAGCTCCAAAAAGTATTAGAACAATGAAAAAGATTAGAAAAATCCATGGGAACGGTCCAGTTGGAAGATTGGTAAAGATTATGGTAATGATGGCTAAAGAAACTGCACTGAAAGATACAATCATCATGAAAAAGCCATCCCCTCCTACATTCAATCTAGTCCCAAAATTAAGATCGTCCCTTTCCATCCTTGTAAAAGCAGCACCACCTTGCTCTATCCCAATCCCTCTTATTGTCTTTGGTGCAATGCCCAGAGTTTGAAATGCTTCAGTAGTCACTTCAAGGCCCGAAATCTTCATTGCTCCTGTTTGTGCTCCTACAGCATTTATTGCTCCACTTTCCAACCCAACTCCTTCAACTGCTCCTGTTTTTAGATCGGTTTCGGTCACTTCAATTGCATTCTCTTGCATTTCAGTTAGTGCTACACCATCTATGTAAAAAGTATTCGATAAAGATTAGTATAACAATAATCCTATGATTAATACAAAATTTATCCTATATATTAATATAACACAACTTGACACAGAATTAATAGAAACTTGAAATCTACTGTCAGACCTATACCATATCGGATTATGCAAAAAATTATACAATAAAAAAGTTTGAATAATTATACTACCTAAATTATGTTACGTAATCTGAAAAAAAAAATTGCAAGATTTTAACTTAGACAAAATCCAACTTTTTGTTGTTGTTTTGAAGCCACCAATATTTAACTTGATTTAATAATTTGAGTAACATTAAATGGAAGCATTGTAATTCATGAACTAATAGTATTAACCTTTAGTATTTTCCAAAAATATGTAATAACAAATTGCGCAGATATGTTAATACATATATATATTATTAGGTTAAATTTAGAAAGAATATGTTTCAATAATACTAGCAATTTACTACTGCGGCTACACAGTTCATAGAACAATCTTGAACGGTCTTTACCCACACAAGCCCAAAGACATTTTAAAACTTCTGACAAAAATGTTTTTGATTCATAATTATTACTGCGCAACACTAGTTATAAACAAGAATGGGCACCTTTTTTAATTAAAAAGTCAGTTCTTTATCAATTTCTTTTATTAAATGAGCTCTCAATTCCTCTTTTTTTGATGAAGATATTACTCTCTCTTTTTCAGTTCTCAAAATCCTTTATAAAAGGAGTCTTGTTTATTATACCTTTTTGAATTCCAAGTACTCTTGATTCTGCGATAGTGAAAGCTTGCATTGCCTCTTGCTCCATTGTTGCTTGAACGACATTTAAAAAAAAGTGTCTATTGGGAATTTCATATTCACCCTTGGTTTCGGGTTCAGATCGAGCTGGTTCATCTAAATCTAGAGATCCTCCCATTTTCTAAAAAAGCAAGAAAGAATATAGTTATATGTAATTTTAACCTTGTAAATTGGTAATAAAATTAGTTTAACTTAAAACTAAGATTGTATGATATACAAGGCAGCAACAAAAAGCAGTAAAATATTACTTATCAGAAAAGAATTGTGTTTAGGCTATATTATATTAAAATCTTTTGTCTGTCTCTATGTAACATTTTTAACAAATTAAAACATTGTGTTTCAAACATGAACAAAGAATGCCTAACTTTTGACTATCTTTGACTATCGAGATAAGATATTTATGTTCGTGGCCATTACAATACGTATAATGACTATAAAAAATTTAACTAAAAATTTTCTCAGTTACTTAATGACCTAAATACGGATAACTAAATGGATGAGGAAGTTGAAATTAAGTTTACAAGTACAACAATCCATAATAAAATTCTGCATGTGATGTGTTGTATTCTACTCCGACGAATTATAACAAACATTTCTTGAAAATAGTTAACTACTATGGGATATGAAACCACTGTTAAGAAAAACAGAATAAATGGTGACTAGCTTGTTATATCTACATAAAAACATGCTTTTTAAGCACAGAGTCCATAAAAGCTTTACAGAAATGAAAATACATCTTTTGAAAGCACAACAGTAACTAAAAATAATCTTTTTATTGGAATGACTCTTTCTGTGAGTAGTTGTTGCGGTTAATGTTATGATGATGCAGCATCATGATACGTAGTTAGTCAGGAATTAAAAAGACATTAAGTGACTCCGAACCAAAAATACAATACTCTCTGAGTTATTTTTACAACTAAAATTTGTCAGTACAAGATACCCACAAAACCATCAGCATTATAAAAAATGCTCTGAGCTTTGTTTATGAATTTACAAAACTAATAAAAAAATCTCCCAAACTTGAATTGTGATTAAAAATAAAAAAAGAAACCCTCCCGGGAACACTTGTTGTAAGCATAATCTGCCCTGCATGCTTGATGGTAAAATTCGAATCATAATATTCCATATCTGGAAACTACTTAACTCAAAAAGATGCCTGAGAAAATGCTAAATCTAAGAAAAAAACAGCAAGTTGATTGCTTGAATAAAAGGAGTCTCATTACATACAAATTAATTCCCTTTTTTTTTGAAATTGATAACGGGAAGATTATTCTCAACATAAATAGACAATTTATCAAAAGGTTTGAAATATTAACAAAAAGTTTTATGTCTTATATGTTTCTGATTTAAATACTTCAAGACTCCATGCCTAACTGCAAGTTATGTACATGTCTACTGCTCAACTAATAGACACTCTGCAAAAATTTCTTAATTTTTTCAAGTAAGCTATAAATTGATTTTTTATAAATTTCATTGTTGTTTACTTTATTCACTCTAGCGTATCATTCAATAGCAAAATGCATAATTTTATAGCAGTACAAATATGCGTTAAAGTTAAAATTTTCTCATATTTAATTCTGAATTACAGAGAAACAGATAAAGTTGAAAACAAATCTTACTCAGAAATTAGATTATCAGTATACTTTTATGATGTTAGCAACAATTGCTATTAACGAAAAAATTTTCAGCACTTTCCGACAAATTAAAACTTGGTTGAGACACCATGAACAGAGCACGGCTGACCTTAATAGATATAACCAACTGCTTTTGTAGCCGAAGTGAAGGCTACAAAAGTCAAAAAAAAAATTGTATTTAGATCATTTACATTATAAATCTTAAATTGGGTTTTAGGTTTTATTAAGGCCTCATATTTAAAATTTTTTCTATAAAACTACATTTAACCTACCTATTTCTTATTTTTTTCTAGCTTTCTGCGTCATGTATGCATTTAAGAATATTTCATCTTTTGGCCTAATTTGAAAAAAGGAATTAATGTTACCACTCAGCCAAATTACATTGGACTATATAACACGTATATTATAACATATTACGGTATTCTTTTGAATTTTTTCCCTCTAGAACCTCTATAAAAAAATTGCGATGATGTATGGCAATCGGCATCTCAATTTTTAATTGTCATGGTTTTAACTATTTTTTTATTTTATATTATGAAGTTGTAAAAGTTTTATTTTATGTTAAAGTGGAGAAAGAAAAAAATTTTTTTTTGTTAGGAGACAACTTGTAGCTATCCCTATTTTACATTACCCCCAATTTAAATAAATTGCTCACGTCTAAGTCTATGAAGTATCTTAACTTGAATAACACTTATTTTTAATAGACATTTTGACTGCTTAAACCGTTTTAGTCAGTTAAATTGTTCCCACAATCCAATTCACTTTATCTGGAAAAAAAGTTGTTTTTTACTAGAAACGCCCTTAAATAACCGACATTAATTTACTTATATCATCTTGCTGGGGCGTCTATAGTATTACTATTCACCAAAATTACTATTAGTTAATATTCATCAAAAATATGCACTTTTGACAAGTTACAAGATTGTATATATTTTTTTCTCTTTATGAATTATGATTTTTTTTTCTCAATATAAATTATTTTCCTTTGAGGAAAATTAAACAAGTATACTTCAAGAAATTTTAGTTAGCAATAAAAAAATATTGAAGTAACTTCTTTTTACAATTATGAAAAAAATTTCTTGGTTAATTATAATTTGTATTAAAAGTTCTTAAAGCATGTGAAAATAAAATTAAAAATAAGTAGAATAATGGACTTACCATGACCGACTGTTCTGTTCTATATTTATTCTTTACACAATTGATTTATTTTAATATCATCTAAATCAATTTATCTCAATTTTTTAGTCAAAAACTGTCGTTAAATTGCCATATTCAGTTTTTGGTTATGATTTTCAGTCAAAAATTGGTTTTTTAGCTATAAACCAGCACCAAGTAAAAAGGTTCACACCAATCCGTAAAAAGGCTTTTATCCAAGTAGCAAATAATATTAGCGTAATATTTGGTATCTTGACCACCGTTGTTCAACATGAGTGATATTCCACTTACATTTGCATAATGTTGGCATGCTTATTTTTTTTTTATTTATAGTTAATTTAGGTGCTCCCAAAAGTCCTTACAGTCTTGTCACAGAGCACCGCGGAGGAGCATTTAACAAGAAGCTCACGCCTCATTCCATACCAATGTCGCTTATTAGGCTAGAGCTGCCGTCAAACCACGGAACTCTGGGTTCTGAGCCAGATTTTTAACTACTGCGCCACGGCTGCTCATATTATCATAAAAATAGTCTAGAGAAAATGGGTTAGAGATGTTGGCGAAATATTTTTTTCCTTTTACTGACATATTTATACATGACAACTACAGCTTAAACAGAGAAGTATTCACATTGCTTAACTTTATTAAGCAACTGCTTAATTAGTAATTATTTTTTCATTTGTTGCATATTATATAAGAGTATAAGAGAAAATTCGTTAACCTGTAACAAAAAACAATAAAAAACAATATCCATCTACCAAATCTTGTTAACAAGCCAATTGTATTTTAATGCTTTAGACAAACGAAAAAGATAATGTGTTGCAAAATCCATTTTTGTAAACATCGTTATTTTTTTTTAATTATATATATTTATTATATATAAAAGAAATCAATAGATTTAAATATCACTACTACTAGACCTTGTTTTGCTGTAGGAAATTTTTTGAAATAAAATCAATAGTCACTGTTAAAATTATAACATTATTTTTATACCTCTGAAGTTAGATATATGAAATTTAAAATAATATAGAATTTAAACAAGTCACTAAAAAAGCAAATTTTTTATAGCATTTTTTATATAGCAATGTAACTAACGTCCAGGATTAAAATGGCACTCAGGAAACCAAGAATGTAGATGTGACTCTTATGATAGAAAAAATTTAGCAAAAATATGTTAAACCTTTTTTTTTTTTTTTTTTTTGTATGTATTTAGGTGCTCCCAGAAGTCCTTACGGTCTTATCATAGAGCACCGCGGTAGAGCATTTAACAAGAAGTTCACGCCTCCTTCCGTACCAATGTCGCTTGTTGGGCTAGAGCTGGCGTCGAACCTCGAACCTCTGGGTTCTGAGCCAGAACTCTAACCACTGCGCCACGGCTGCTCTTAAACCCTTAAATACATAGTTTTTTGTTAAAATGATATAGAAAATTTTTATAATGTGCATGCAAATTTCCATAACTTTGACCACGTCCTCCGTTCATTATTGTATTCGAAACATTTAAAAAACTTTATCATATGCAAGGTTTTAAACATATAGTAATTTTGAAATGCAACGTCGCACCACTCTGTTTACTGCAAATTGTTACAGCAAATAGAGTGGTGCGATTTTGATACATAATTTTTACATAACTATAAATCCATTTTAGCATAAAATGGATTAATAGTTATGTAACCATTTACAGTTTGTATTTTATTGTTTAAAGAATTAAAAGCATTATCACAAAATTGTCTAAATTTTTAGCATTAAATCTCGTTCTTTAGTTTAATATTAATTTTTTTATACTGTTTTTTAAACTAATATGTATTATTCCATTAATGTTGTTAAATAACAACTTTATTTGTTATATAACAAACATATATTTAAATACTTATAAAAAATGCGTGTTTTATTGCAAATATGTCAATACTTGTTTGTTTTAGTTTTGGCTTTTTTCGTTGAACTGGTTAATACAAAGCGATTCCTCACCTAGAAATAATCTGCCAAAAACATAATATAAAACTAATAAAAATGTTGAAAATAAGTTCTAAAGCTAAAAGCACAGACAAAATCTTAACCATAAATTCAGATTATATTGATAAAGCAGAAATAATATTAGAAGTTGAGATTAACTAGATTTTGAAAAAAAAAAAGGTGTATTAAGTTTCCTAAAAATAAATGTATAAATATCAAACATAGTTTAAACATTTTACATATAGTCCATTATAAATTCAAACTTAGAATAGAAACTTTATTTTTTAGTTTTAGGTTTTTTCATTCCATTTTCATTCAAGAAAAATACATACTATTCATCATGATAAATATGATTTATTATATAAAATGTTTTATTTTAAAAAGTATATATTTCTCATTGAAATGCTATAACGTGATATTAAATATGGCGTAAAACCTCTAATCGTTGAGTAAGTCAGTAGCAACCATTAATACTTTAGAAAAAGCTGATTGCTACGTTATTCATCAATAGTTTTGCCTAAAGTTGTTCTTAAACACTTTTTTTGTTTGCAACTGTTTTAAAATTATTAATTATTATTTTATTTTATAATTTTGGTCTTCAAGTAGAAACTAAAAATTCAGTCGCCTCAAAATAACTTTTGGTTTGAATTTTACTGTTATTTGAGAAACTGGTTTGATATTTTGTTTAATTTACTTTGAATAGTCTGCAAATTATTTAAAAAAACGTATTTTTATTAACTTCGAAGATAACTGTACAAAGATAATATTTATTTGGTAGATTCAACAAATAAAGCTAGGCAATGTGTAAACCTTTATTGAAAATAATTCTGTTTGCAAGCTTTTGTTTATTAAATAGGATTTTTTCTCCATTTTATCCTTATTTGTGCTGCACCAAACAATTATTACGCAATTAAGTTGACAACAAATAAACAAGAAATATGAAAGCAAATTGGATATAAAAAATGGTTTTTCTTGACAAAACAGGCCAACTATAAAGTTCATTGAATTTTTATTTTCGATATAATGGATGTGATCTCTACACGTCACACTTTTTTCAAGAAAAACTTCAATAACTTGCAATGTAATTGCTCTTTTTATGCGTTGATTGCCAATATGTCACAGTTTTGGAAGTTTTAAAGGACTATTATCTCGATGACGATGGAAAAAAAGTTTACTTTGTTTTGGATACATTTAGGAATTATTTTTTTGCATTAAACCATTAAAATTTACCAGCTCTTAGTTTACAGACTTAAGCAGAATGTTTATATGATTATGTGCATAAAAAAGATTTGTGTCATCTGCAATTAAAATTGTAGCTAGTTCAATTTAAGTTTTACTAAAATCATTAATATAAATAAGAATTAGGAAAGGTCCCCAATATAGATCCTTAAGGAACCCCATATGTTATGGTCATATTGGTTATTTTATCTTATAAGAAATATTTATATGTTTCATGTCATAGTTTTTTATCTTAAGTATTACAATGGATAATAATATTTTATATGACTATCCATTATTATTAGAGCTTAGTTATGATTTGAAGCAAGTTTTACTTTTTTACTTTTGATGCTAAACTTTGGCCTGTGCTAACAAATGCATGATTAAACGATTTAGAAATTATAGCGCTATTATGGGAAAAATGTTTTTATATTTTACTTAACTATAAAGTTAATGTTTAGGGCTAAGATTACTGGTATCGTTTGGTAACAGCGTCATACAATACAAAGTTTCTTCATAAAATTATGGTCATCCACCTCGCAACTTCGGCTTCTCAAAATTTTTAAAAACATACTTTTATGTAGATTGTTTTGGCTTTAAACACAAATCTTTTATATAAAGAAGAAATTGAAATTTGGTATTCCATTCATTCCAAATTTGTTTTTCAAATTCCAAAAATGTTTTCTTCAGTGAACTACTAATATCAAAATAATATTTTTTTAGAGCTTTTCAATCTAATTCTGTATTATTAAAAATCGTTTTAGAATCCTGCAACCTTTTAAACGTGATTAATATGAATTAGAATTTTATTTAAAAACATCAAAAAAGGTCCTATATTAATATTTGATTTTGGGGTTGCTTTGCGTTGCTTCTACTTTCTCTAAGTCCTCGAGATTTATGTTAACAAATTTTGCCTGCTTTAATATTCCTATAACCAAGATTGTAGTGTTCTTATTAACTATTTGTATAAAACAAAAAATGATTTTTTAATCTGTACGTATTTTTCTAAAAATGTAT